TATCAGGTGTTATAGTAAACAGTGCCCCAAAATGGAAGTTAAACTGCTTTGTGACGAGGCTGAAAACCTGAAGTTGAAGTACTCTTTTGTACACACATACACAGTAGCGCTGCTTGGGTGCAGCATGATCTTGTGTTGGTTTATACGTGCTTGAAGTGATTGAGTCAATCAGTATTCATCACGATGTGCCAGTCTGTACAGTACAGGCAACCTATCTGTAAGGTTAAATCCATTTCACCACTATGTAATTTAATTATTGCTTTCTTTCAAAATAAAAGCACTATAGGAATAAACGATTTGGGAAATAAGCTTAGTGTCCTTCTTGCCAACAATTAGATGACAAGATTGATAGCCACTGTCACGTCCGTACAATAAATATGGAGCTGGAGTCTCAGGGTGCAGCCAGGAGAAACAGCAAAGCCTTGCCCTGTTTAAATGTAATAAAATTGACTAACAGAGCCTTTAAAACTCATTGGCAGATTGGTTTAAACTTCCCTTTCAGACATGCAGTCTTTTCTATTAATCTGACTGCATTTGAACGTGTCTGCTTCATGTCTGAATGAGCATTCTGGTCACTTTTCTGTAAAAGTCGCAGTCTTGTTAGGCTGGTACTAACAACATTTACTCATCACTTTCAACACAAATCTAAACTACAAGCGGTTGAATAAATAGACGAACAATGTGGTTCCTGCGAGCTCTGCTGCCACTGTTACAATTATCATTCTTATTTGCCAGTACTCATTATGGGCTATTCCCAGTTATTTGGACAGTTTGATAAGCTTGCAGTTAGTTCAGGTTTAGCCTTTTGTTTCATGAAAGCTTCTTGACCCCTGATGTAGTCCCATGTATGGTTAGTATAATGTACATATCTCTCCATCCCTGTTGTCTGAAAGAAGCCATGAGGAACAGGAATGTAAAAATAGACTGAATGACAGAATGCTACCAGATTGATGACGCCAGCAATGTTACGTATCCCATGTCTGAACAGGCCTACAGTATAAAAACATCAGCTTTGAGGGTTTCTATGTGCAGAACTTGCAGGATATTTATCTTAAAAACGAGAACGACATCGATCTGGTCATGCAAGTCTAGTCTGTGAAAGTGAATAAACATATTTCATTTTTGTTAAGGGTTTGTTTTTGTATCGGCAGCTTCATTTAACAGTACTTTCACTGACGATATCCTCTTAGCACAGTTTGATCTTCAAAATAGCATGTGCAAATGAGATTACATAACTCGCTTCTGTTCGGGGGTGATTGACATTCCATCTAAGTGTCTCCAATTAAGTCGCTGCATAAATCTGTTACAGAAATATTAACAAAAGTATCTGATGGCTGCTCCTTCTCCCAGATTAATGTGCGCGGAGCAATCCTACAGGGTTAAACTTTGGCTGACTTTGGAAGACATCTGGGCTCCCAGATGTGAGATGTGAACAGGAAACTCATCTGTTTCACTAGCCTAGCTCAGCCTCAGCCCCGTCCCATCTCAACCCAACTGTGACAACAAAGCTAATTACCGAACCTCCGATCCCACACAGAGTGCTGACAGTCTTGTTAGCCTCCGATTTACACTTTTAATTGAATCAAGCGTATCGGCATCATCTGGCTCATACTAAGTATATTTGGCTGCTTACAAGAGCCAATATCCAGTGCAGTTCAGTTTGATTAAGGATCCGTTTGAGATCAGCAATCCATCCTGATTGGACAAAGCCTCCTTCTACACCTCGCGTTGTATCGCCGCGTGTCACAGGCCTTTTACTTCTTCCACATCAGGGATTTTGATCTCATTCTGATTCCACTGTGTGCTGCATGCATTTACATCCAGCTTTTTGCTTCTTCTTTCTGATCCAGATAAGACAGCGTAGGGGGGGTTTATGCGAAAATGGGGCCAAGACAACAATGGGACCAGGCGGCCCGAACGCCTGCCCACACAAAATACACTTAATTCCTTTATCCTCTCATAATCTTGACCTTCACTTTACAAAAAGGCATATGTGTAATAACCGAGGCTACAAGGTCTGCCTCGTCCTCCCCAACCCTCACCCACTCCTCCCCTTCTGCATCAGCTCGTAAATCCTCGCCCAGAGTAACTCCAATCCCTGTACCATGAATAATCTCTTCACATCTCTGCCGTGAATTTGAAAATGTATACATTTTCAGCTGACATCCTTATCTTGACAGTGAATGTTAAGGGGATCAAAATGTTTGCCTTCCAGTTGGAGCAGTTTTTGACTCCTCTGGAAAAGCTCTGGACATGTTTTTTAAAATGTAAAAAAATAATAATTGTCGTGAAATATGTTTATTCGGTTTCTTGCCAAAGGTAGATAAGAAGATTGATACCGCTGTTGTAGCGATGTTGTAAATATGAAGCTACAGCCAGCTGCCAGTTGGGTTCCTGCCAATTAATGTAGCATCTGATACAAAGTACGATATTAAAACGGCCATATGGTTTTCGGAGAAAGTACATTGTGGAAAGAGCTCCCTGAGAGGAGGGAGATTTGGGCAGCCTCCTCCAAATGACTATCTGCATCGTGGGGAGTGTCGCACGGTTAAACGGCCACTAAACGCCCTTGTAATTTGAGATAATGGCTTTGACATTTCAATGTCGGACATACTGCGAGTCACAGCAAGCAGGCCTCTTTAAAAGCAGGGGGAAAAAAGTGGGAACAGAGATGCTGCTGAATCTGTGATCTCTTCTTCAATTATTCTCTCTGTTCCTAGGAAACAAGAGAATAAACGGTGTTCAGTAAATAGAGTGTACAACAGAAATGAGCTGTATCACCCATATTTCAGTACTTCATATGTCCACCTTTATATTGGATGACTGACTCAATCCTCTTCAACATGGTGGATTAAAAAAAAAATATTCAGGAGAGATGTTCTGCAGTTCTTTAGAGACTATTCTTCTCAGCTGCTCTTTGCTGGAGGAGTTTTGTTGCTGGACTTCTCCCTTTAAAACATCCCAAAGCCGTTCTATTGGATTCAAGTCAGGCAACTTAGGTCAAAGTTTTCTTTTTCTTTTTTTTTGTTCAGTTGAAATTCTTGTCCGTTTTTGGCACTGTGCTTTGAATTTATATCATCCTGACACATTCCTCCTCTGCCAAGTCATCTTGTGAGCCAGCACTTTGGCAAATCCACAGGCATTCATCTAGAAATGTCATCTCCCCATCACCTTTCTCATGCAGCCCCATATCATCACATCTATGTTCTTCACTGTCAGGACCATGCGTTCACTGTGGTAGTCCAGCCTGAAGCACTTGCCCGTCTCTTTTTAAGACCTAGATTGTCAAAATATGGCGTTTATTTTCAGACGACGACCACTATGGCTCTGATTAGTGGTACTATATCTGATTCTGTACCTCCTGATGAGTGTTGCGTTTTGACTGATTTCCACTTGTTTACCAATTTCCTCTTAACCTCTTCCATTTTTGTGAAATCAGATGTTGTAGTTCTGGTCTTTCCCATGTGGACCCATGATGCACACATGCAGATAGACATAAAACTTGAAAAAGTTCTTCTATTCACAAGTCATATTCATGCAGTGATGAAATACCCAATTTGTCAACTTAGAAATACCGCAATTACTGAGAGCTGATTCCATTTTAAATCATTTGACATTTAAGTAATAACACACAGGCATGTGCTCACCTCTGTTGTATACTATTGTAATGCATTTAGCCTGCTGGATGTCCCTGCGTTTGAGGTTTGATGGAGGAACCCTGTGTTCTCAACTCATTTTAGCTTTAAAATCAAACTCATCTTCCCCGCAGAGACGCCTTTCAAGATAATAATGGACAGACAAATGCTTAAATACCAAACAACTGGCTCACAACGTGGTTTAAGGAAGATAAAGCTCAAGAAAAAGGCTTAATACCCCCCCCCCCCCCGCGGTGCTTTCAGAAAGATTTGAATAACCAACGACGGAGGAACAGCTGCTGTATTTGTTCCTGCAGTCGCTGTGCTAAGATTCAACTTGAGCAATAAGAGCACACTTATTTCTCCAAATAAATTGCAGGCAAGCGTCAGGCATATCACTTTGCCTGCATTAGAAGGTAACACCCCATGACAGGCAGTAATTATCCACAGATGAGAGACTCAGCTGCACAGAAGCAGGAACAGAGGGGGAGGCGGTAAAGAATCGGTGTGTACGGTTGTATCCACGCGTGTATCTGTGTTGATGTGTGTGTGTGTGTTGGAGAGTGTTTGCGGCGGGCTCTGACTCAGCACATCCACATGGGCCTCAGAGGCGGCTGACTGTTTTATTACCTAATCCAGTTTAGGAGATGAATCCGACCCATAATCTAATATTCTCATAAATGATTCCCGCCATATACACGAATCCCTGACCTTAGCTTAAACCGCAGCTTCCGGGCTACAGCAGCCACCCAAGGCAGCATTTAGACATCTTCTTACACTAATTGCCACTGTGACTACTCAACTTATTGCTCATATTTCCTAAATGGTTTGATATTTACAGCATCTAAGAATAGCAGCTCAAGAGCGGTGAAAGGTTGCTCCGGTTCGCGCCACTCTTCTCCCTCTGCTCTCTTTGTTGCGTGCTATAGATGAATGCTGATGTAAAACGTTGCTCCAAGTGTCAGTTTTCATCTTTCCAAGGTCTCCCCAAACCTTGCTCTGTGCCTAATAGCACGCTTCAGGCATGATCCGGGACATAGCTCTGCTCTCTGAGACCAGCGAAATACCCAGCAGCGCCTTGAACACGTCCAGCCAGGCACTGGGTATAACTGAGGTGAAAGCTCAGCGAGCAAATCCCTCAGAGATAGTCTGTCATGTATTGTTTCATTTCTCCCTTTACCCTTTCTCATTTTTCTTCAGCTCATAATCCTAATATTTGCCAGGCAATGCTAGCATTTCAACGGAGCAGAATCCGTATTTACCCAGCATGTTAAGTCAGTCATGTCAAATGTCCCACCATGTCCTACTTTCCAATTCCACGTCTATTGTTTTCCCTCCTCTTATTTGCATTTAATCACACTCGACTTTCTTTCACATTGTTTTATCGGTTTATTATCCAAGTTGAATTCTGATATTTTAAGACAATCGAGGCACATGGAATTATACAAGCCGATAATGCAACTTGACCTCTTTGGAAACAAACTCTTAAAAAGGCAGCAAATTCACTCCAGAGTTTAGGAATGTGTGAAAGAGAAAGACACAAAACAGCAGATGAGTTCTGAATTTCAGTGCAAAAAAAAAAAAAAGAAAAAAAGAGGGAGATTCTGTAATTTGTCGCTGTGCGTGACAAGCTACTGTTTCACTGCATGGCAAAGACAAACTGCTTGAAAACTTGACCGTGCTGTGTTTATGTAAAGCAAATGACTTTTTCACCTCAAATTAATTTCTGTAAATAAACAGGATGAGACGGGGCCAGTGTCTGGTGATGGTGCGCTGCCTCGTAGCCAATGCATATCTCTTTGTTCAGTGCAGAAATATGTGCTTATTTGAATACTCTAAGCGTGATAAGCAAAGGATCCCACAACAAAGAGTGGCAGCTCGGCCTTGTGGTTTGACTTTCCCATAACCAGAGAGGCCACCGAGTTCAGCCCCACAACAGTCGTTTTGTCTGTTCTGTTGGAAGGATCTAAGCTTAGGATGCCACCTAAGTCCTCTGAATATAAACAAGAGGCAAGGCAAGGATATATATAGTATATGGTTGGTGCAGCCAAAGAATTAGGAATCCACATTAAAGATGATCCATCTTTAAGGCACTAATGTCATAAATAAGATGGCACACTGAAAAATCAACACAAAAATCTGAAAACCTTCCCAAAGAAAATGAAACAACATTGATATATTTTTTTGGTCTGAGACGATAAAAAAGTAAAAAAATAATACTCAAAAATACATAACGCATTTTTCCCAGATTCCCTATGAAAGATTTTTTTTTTCCCTTCCCTATGTGCGCTTTATTGTCTTATGTTGAATTTGCTTCAATCATTCAATTTTATTCTGGGTTAACAAATTAAGTGTTAAGCTAGTGTTTCACTATGATCTAGTCAGCACAACGTCTTGCATCGTAGCATTTAAACAACATGCAAACCTAAATTTAAGGAACTCTTGTTGACTGAAGGCCACATTTGCTTCATTCTGTGTGTATACAGGGGCGATCAGAAACTTCCGAAATTGTTTGTGTTTGCAGTAACAGTCACGAGTCAGGAGACAACATGACACTCTGGTCATCCCTCATGTATATACAGCATATGTGGGTATAGAAGTACAGCTATACTTAATGTAAACACCTCGTACCTAACAAACTCTAGCAGTTAGAACACAAACTAGAGTCAGAACCTACATAATAACTTTCCATGTTGTCTATGAGTGCACCAGTTTAATGCCCTGGCCAGTGTCCAACACAGCTGGTGGGAACCAAGCGAGTTTACACCTCCTGAAGCAGCGCAGACACATGCTACAGAACCAGAACAAGTTGAGGCCGCAGCACCAGTTGGACAGGTGCACCATGGGATAAGTAGCCTTGGGGAAGTGGGTCTTCCAGTGCTTGGCTATGTCGCTTCCGGTGGGCAGGTGAAGTGTGTAGTCGCTCCAGCGTTTGGACACGCCATAGGCGGCCGTCACAGTCCTCCCCTTTTCGGACCACTGGGTGTCACTGGCTGGGTTGCAGTTAAACTCCACCCATTCAGAGGTGAAGTCCCCGAGCAAGGGGGTGTCTCCAGCCTCGGGGTCCACCCTGATGGCCGACAGCTCAGCCCCCTGCACGGCTACGTAGACGCCCTCCACCCTGCGGATGTCTTTGACCCAGGGCAGGGAGTTCTCGGTGTCCAGGACGAGGATGAGACGGGAACAGTGGCCGGCGTTCTTCTCTTTCCACAGCTCCAGCAGCTGGGCCAGGTGAAGATACTCGCCTCCTGCAACAGAGGAGGTTAGAGGAGTTCAGGAAGAAGGTGCAAGACAGGAACAAAAAGTTATTGTTACATCCAGTGTTTTGTTGATTGATATTTACTTTACTTGGATACTAAGGGGACAACTCTCTAAACCCCAAGCATCTCTTTAGTCAGTGTTGAAAAATGAACACTATGTTTTTTGTAGTGCAATTTAAATTATGTTTTGTTTTTTGTTGTGATATTTTAAATTGAGAACCAGTGCAGGATGTATTCAGAGAACAGAGTGGAGTATGTGGACATTCTGCCTAACTTAGTTGTATATTTAAATTGCTCACTTGAGAACATGGACATTTTTCTCTGTGTTTGATACATGCTTATTGTACTGTAGGGTCAAATGGTAACGGGAAAACTAACGGAACCACCAACTGTGCGTTTTAAACTTGTTTTGTTTTCCAGAGCTGTGTTCACACTAAAACAACTTCTGCCTGAAGCGGAGCTGAAGTATGGTTTTTAGTATTCTGGACAACTTCTATTAACTTTTAGCATTCTGGACAAAAGTTATAAAGCCAACATGCCTTACCAATGATGCTTACAGAGCCACTATTGGTTCAGTGTCTTGTTTAAGAACATTCTAACAACCGTTGATGGACACAGCAGGGATTAAACCTGTCAATTCTGACTTGTGGGACTGTTTTTCTGTCTAAATTCTGCCATCACCACCACACACACTGCATTAAGACGTTTTCCAGATGGCAGATCCCAGCTACAAACACCAGCGCAGGGCTGCTGCTATAGCTCAACTGGTTGAGCTGGCAACCCATGTACAGGGGCTATAGTCCCAGACGCAGTGGTCATGGGTTCGAATCCAGCCCATGGCCGTTTGCTGCAGGTCCTTTCCCCATTCTTCTCCCTGCTTTCCTGTCTCACTCTCTACTGTCCTGTCAAATAAAGGCCCAAAACTTATTATTCTTGTTGCTTCAAAATCTTTATCATTAGTAAGTGTTAGGTAAGTAAATAAAAGCTGAAGAGAAAAATGGTTTCCACTGCTGGCCAAAGTGCAGCTTCACCAAAGACTGATTTACACTTGGATAGGAAACTACAAATCTACATCAAGCCAATCTGGAAACACTCCAACCGCATTGCTAAATTTTATATTCATGTATCCACTGTGATCACCAGTACACAGACAAACTACTTGTTTCATGGATCCCTGTATAATTTCGCACTGCTGCACAAAGGCTTAATTACTGGAGGGATCAGGGAAAAAGTATGACTTGCAATCATTAGCTTTTCCCAGTTAGGATTTCAGCCCACGTTTTCAGAAAATGTGTACAATTATCCATTAAATTACGACTAAAAACGACCCTTCAGGATGGTGACGGGGGGATTTTTTTTTTCTTCCTGTTTGCAGCAGAGATAATACGTCGAGTAATCTCGGAACAGAAAAGCTGGAGCTGACACAGAGTTAACCTGCTGTGATTCTCATTTCTGTGGAGGCAACGCTCGTGTCACAGCAGACCGTCTGCAACTTTCTCAGAATCTTCTCTACTGGAACCCAACTTCTGTGCCCGAGTCCTTCACAGCAAATTTGACTCTTTTGGCTTGCTTGTCTGATCTGTGCAAATCAGCCTGATTGACTGAGAGAAAGGGAAAAAATGAAAGGAATGGAAATCAGACTGTAATGCAAATGAGCGTACAGTCAGAATACAATTTATATCTAATACCATCCGACACAACAGCTCTGCAGTCAGTTCTGCTTTTGTGCTGAACTGTTGTATTTTAACTCCGATTCAAGTCTTTGGTAATTACGCACTGTTTAGATGTGAGAACAACGAGACAGCTTTGAAGAGATAAAGCCGATATCCAACTTAGGATGCATCGAAAAACTTTTTGTTCCTGATGACTGAAGGTGGCAAATTGCGTCTTTTTGATGTTTACAAAACCTGAAAAAAACACAGCAAAAAGATGTCTGAGAAAGCCAAAAATGTATGATTGGAAGTGAAGGTTGAAGTTTACGTATGAGGAATTTGATGTCATCGCCTTTAATGAATTCGGATACGCTTAACATGGATCGCTGAATAATAAATTAGGATGCTTAGAAGCTGCTTTGATGCTTTGGAGTGGTTTTTAGACAACATACAGCGGCATGAAACAAAGTCTGAGCACCCCTTGTCAAATATCTGCTACTTTAAATTGCTAAGTAAGAAGATGAACAGAACTCCTAAAGGCATAAAGGGACAAACATTTTAAGACAAGAGTACTTTTTCATTTCCATTTTCACTGCTAAAAAAAAAAGAAAAGGGTCTTAAAGTTCTTATTTAAGTGAATTTCACTTGTTTTTTTCTTGCAAATATTTTCTAGTTTTGTGAGGTTCTCTGTCCACCTGGCATGTTTTTCAGAGTTCTACCCACAGATTTTCTATTATGATTTGTTCAGGGGACTGTGGGCAGCATGGCTACACCTTTAGCTTCTGCCTCCTGAGGTAGTCCATTGTGGACTGTTTAGGGTGGTTTGTTGCTGCTTGTTCTGTTGTTGTGGCAGTGGTGGTTTTTTTTTTTTTTTTTTTCCCGTGATGTTTGCTCGCAGAATCTTCTCTGTTTAACTGCGTCTGTTCCCTCTGCAACCAGTGAAATGCTTTCTGGGCCACAGGCTGCAACACAAGCCCAAAGCATGATCGATTCACCCCCTGCCTAACAATTGGAAAGATGTTCTTTTCATGAAATTCGGAACCCCCCCCTTTTTTTTATTTATTTACTTTTTTACCAAACACACCTTTGCTCACTGGAGCCAGAAAAGTTTTATTTCAACTTCTTCAGCCCGCAGGACTCCATAATGCATCAGGCTTCGACTGGGACAGTGTTCCTACAGCCCAGCAACAAACGTAACAGAGCTGCCTTTGTGGCCTATTTCATGTTTATTGACTAAAACAGCAATATCAGAAGAAGGCAGAATGTCCACTGTGCTCGATTTGGGTAATCAAATATCGGCTCTTACTGCTGCATTTATTATGATAGTCATACATCTTACATTTATGACACTGGTGTGGCAGAAGACATAAACACAGAATCGGGCTTAGGTTTGTGCTGATAACAATCAGTTTAAAAAAAAAAAAAACAACCTCATCTGCCCTGATCTTGATCTTTTAGAATAGCTCAGGACATCCCTAAATACTCCAGTGCATCTCTGCTCTGCTCAAACAATAGATGTTTCTGTTATTTATTCATTACCTTTCACTGTCTCTTTCAAAATCCCTTATCCATTACTCTTTAACCATTAATTTATTTATTACTGTTGACCAGCTGTTCAGACTTGCACTTGGTAAATAGCTATCATACAGTCTCAATTGATTTATGCAATCACCATGATAATAGGTGAACTCTACTGGTGCCAGAAGTGTAGATGTTGTTGCATATTTGTACGTTTTCAGTATCATGTGTAACATATTGTTTACATGTGCAGTACTTGACTTTCATGTACAACATTGTCAGTGTCATGGGCAATATTTAAATTTTTCGAGTGCAACACTTTACAATTTCAATATTTAATCATCATGTGTGACCTTACCAGCATGTTTTTTTTTTTTTTTAAACTTTTATATTCACGTCTTATTTTATTTCATTAATGTGTCATACTTTTATTGTTTTTCTACACTGTTTACTAATTAGTTTTTATGAGCAATATCTGGCACAAGAATTTCCTGTGGGATCAGAAAAGGTTTATCTAATCTGATCTTATCTCTTTATGTACTTTCAAGAACAGCTAAATGGCGGCGTTTTGCATTTTATGTATGGATTACATAGACGAATATCTCATGTTGCTGCCTGTACTTTAATATAAAGCACATTTACATTAACTGTCATGAAGATGGTAACTACATGGTGGTATTGCAGGAAATGAATGTCAGCTTATATTAGCATGAAATGGCTAATGCTCCAAGAAGGTACAAAAGAGGAGAGAACATAGAAGATACAGAAATGTCTCACCAGCCAGAGCCCAGGCCCCAGAGCCCTTCTGTGTGTGCCCGCTGTAGAAAATCAGATAGGTGTCGTGACGCGGCCCGTCTGCTGTACGAAGCTCCAGAAAGTTGCGCAGCTTGGTGAGTACAGCCTCCAGGGTGACGCCGCTGGTGGAGTAGTCGCAGCCGAACGTCTGGATCATGTGGTGGGAGAAGAGGCGCTGCATGTTGTTCAGCATACCTGTGGAGCGCAGATTCAACTGCTGCACCAGCTCAGGCGGTAAGAGAGTGGGCTGGCCACCGGCGCTGGACAGAAGAGAAAGACGAGAGGCTGTTAGGAAAAAAAACTTGGATGGTAATCTTTCATTTTTTTTAATATTATATCTGCTCAAAGGGGGAATCAGGTTCAGGGCAAAAGAGAGACAAGGAGCACAATGCCAGGGTGGAGTAGCTGTCTGTGTCGCCAGGGGAGAGAGGAGGGGATAAGAGAAGAAGAAGAAGAAGTGGAGGGGATCGCTGCTGTAGGAAATGACATTAGCCTCAGGGATGAAAAGGGAATCAAGAATGAAAGGAAAGTAAGAAAAAAAAAAAAAGGAGGGGATATAGAGAGGAGAATAGAGCAGGGTGACAAAAACTGAGGATGGAAAGTGAGGTTAAAGATAGCTGAGGACAAAGTGATTTGGACAAAGTGTGTGGATGGTTATGGCACAAAGCCCTGGCCGATAATAACAAGTGGATGATACACAAAGGAAATACACACACACACACAGATCAAGCCAACGCTATCAGCTATTCAGTGCAAGCATACTTTTTTTTTTATCTTGCTCGATGTGATTCATGGCCAAGCGGATGGCAAAGTCATACTTCACTACAACAGATATCTGCATAGATCAGCCCTCATATTATGCGTTGTGCCCCCGCTATCCCCTCTGACCTCACCCTGACAAGGACTGGGGAAAGTTTATCTAAAGTGGATGCCAGAGGAGGGATTTTATTCAGCCAGCGGGCAGATAAATAGTCACTATCTGTTGATATCCACAGAGCTTTCCTCAGGTGTGTGATGTGGGAACAGCTTCTGATGTCACTTGTATTAAGTTTTGTATTTGCTTCAGTCCCTGTGGAGGATGAGACAAACAATTTTCTTCAAATTAAGAAGTAACAACAACACAACTTCATATACCTAAACTACGCCACACAAAGTGACATGCAGCAACATGTGCGCGACTTGGCAGGCTCGCCATCCTCTAAACCCATCTAATCTTTTCAGATCTCATGGCACCCAGGGGAGCGAAGGGGCTTGTAGTTTGAGATTCCGACCACATCTTTCTCCGTGACACTCTTCTCTTTCATCCTTAAAAAAAAAAAAGACGAAAAACTAAAAAAAAAAATTCCCATCCTTTTCTCCACAGCTCTCTCAGAGCTCCACCCCTCCCATCCTCTCTTTTTTACAATTCCTCTTGCTTTTGCTCCGTCTGTCCCTTTCTGCTTTTACCACCACCTTCCCTCAATGTTTACAACCTCAGTCCTCGCCTTGTGTTTTCTTCCTGTTGTTTCGCCCTCCCTCGTTTTACCCTATGTGCCTCCCCTCTTCACCCCTATCTCTCTAATCTCCCCGAGGGGATCTTGTCATTGTGAAAACATGATCTGCAGCCATCAAACAGCCGATTATACACTGCTGCATTCTCATCATGCTCTCAGTCCTCCCTATGGATCCCGCACATACGGCGTTGCATACAGAGCATCCGCAGCTCCAACAGGACATGGGCCTGCATCCAAAATCACCTGGAGAGTTAAACGCGAGCATGGCTGGCTTCCCCTTTGAACGCTAAAGCTATGTATAGAGTCGTACTAAATATGCATCAAATTCAAAAAGCTCAGACTTGAAGACAGCCGACTGCTTTTGAATTAAAAATGTGTTGGCTAGCTTCTGTTGTCTAGGAGGAGGAGACATGTCGGCATCTTCAAAACGAACGAGGCGATTTCAAAAAACGCTTGGTCAACTGCGAGGGCACCGGGAGAGGCATCAGCAGCAGCTAATGGCTAACCGCTCCGGCTGAGTAACTTAGTATGCTGTGGAGGGAGCACTGGAATGATCCCTTAAGGGCCCAAACATTAGCGGCATGTTTATGCATAGTTATTGGGCTGTTTATCCATTTGGTTTTGTGTTAACTGAGGTGAGAGTCTGAAAGAGTGATCGTGTCTTCCGGCCTCTGTGATGCCAAGAAAGGCTTTGACATGGTGCAAATGTGATGCTGAATGTGTTAAAACTGCTTTTTGCTGCTGCATCGTGTACATGTGTCGACTAATTGAGTAAATTGAACAGACATTTGCATAATTGGCAGGCAACATGTTGCAGCTTCAGAAGGGGAAGTGCACGTTCTTGTGGTCAACATCTGGAATATGAAACATTCCCAAGTACTGTTTCAATAATTACATGAATTTTAATTTAGCTACCTGACAGCACAGCTGATTTACAAGACTGAAAGATCCACAGAAAATCCCTCTGCAAATATTGTGACAATTAATGAACTGGTGTCGTTTATTTCCAGCAAACACATGCATATTTCTGGTCTGGCTGACTCTAGATTTGACTTGTCCTAATTTAGGTTTTTTGACTGTTGGTTGAACAAATAAAAAAATATAAATGTGAAGACTGCAACTTGGGAATTAATCATTTTTATCTTCTGACATTTATAGATAATGTGATTCATGAAGAAATTATGAAAAAATAAAAAAAATGCAACTATATTTGAGAGAAAATTAACTATTAATTAAAATGTCTAAGTTTTGTATATGTGACTGAGACATTTCGAAAAAATACAAAAACAAAATTATACGACAATTACACGGTCAGTTTTCTGATGTGTCACTGGCTGAATGATTAAAAGATTAGTCAGAAAGAAAAACCTCAACACAGTCACTGCCGGAACCCCAAATCCTGCTGGCAGCTCTGAAAGCCATGGTGACTTTACAAACTCTTCCAATTACACCATTCATCAGAGCTCATAACTGTAACAAAACGGAGAGAATCAGCAGATTTTGAACTTTCTGAATTTCCTTGAACAACTCATCTGCTACATGCTATTCGGTCAGCAATGTGAACCAAATCAAAGCTAAAAATCACGATTATCTATCAAAATCATCTCATTCTGTGTGTGTCTTACACACCTGCCAAAATAAACAGTTTGATCCAACAAGATCCTGTAAAAAAATGAAAAATTCTGCACTTTCAGGGCAACTGGGAAGCAAATAATCACTCAGTTGTGATCAACAGTCATGTGACAAAAATTCAGAGGTATTTTGGGTGGTCTGGGCTGATCTGCAGGCTGTGTATACACAGAACAGAAAAAAGAAAACTGTATATGTATGTATATGTAAAGTCACCTGTTTTATTTAGTACTTTTTAAAGAACAGGTAAAAACAGTGGGTACATGAAAGAAGTTGGACATGCTGATTCCAGATTTCTTCATTTTTGTGAAATAAGCAATCAAACAAGCTCAACTCTTTTTTTTGTGTCTTATGATTTATGGCATTATAACTTTGTTATATTGCACATAAGAGATTTTTGAGTTCGTTCTACTTGTAGCCATGGTTGTGCTGTTTCCAGTAAGATGCAGGACTTCATGTTCCAGTGAGAAATGAGCCCACTGCAAGAAAAAATGTAACAGAAGCAGAGAACTGAAACTGCCCGTAGTTCAGAGGATTAACCAGGAAGAAAAATACTTGGAAGCTGATTCAGCAGTGAGTTTATCCATGTTAGTCTGTGTACATGTCAATATTGATTTGCTTGCTCTCTTTTAAGTACCTGCAGTAGGAGGTTGGTATGACCAAGGCGTAGCCAACACAGGTCCCCCCTAGGCAGCTGCCCAGCTCGTGGAACAGGCTGTGGGCCAGAGACTCCAAAGGCAGCACCACCATCAGAGCGCTGAGAAAGAGACCGTTGGATTGCTGCAAAGAACCCAAAGAATCAGAGTCACTTTCATTCACCACTTACAGCTTGCGCCGAGGTAATCAGACTCACTTAATTGGTGCTGACACTTGGCGAGACAGTTACACAATATGGGACTGACACTGTGCTATTATCACAGGACAAAACATGACGGGACTCGGCTAAATGGAGACAAAACGACGGCAGACTAAACATACATCACAAGCATCAATCCAAAACAGAATAATTACTGCAGTGCATGAGCCTGTACCTTTGAGCAGCCTTGAGTGTGTTGAATAAAACCATTATAACGCTACGGTCTTGACATCTGCTTGACAGTTCTATATTCTAAATGCTAACGTTTAAAAGTCAACTCTCCCCATACAAAACCACATACATTATTATGAGCACAAAAGTACACTATAGAAACCTGCAATGTAAAAGCTGACTGAGAGTGCAATTATTATTATTATTTTTTACTGTGAATGTATGAAATGTAATTTAGCATTACAAAGGCCACTTGGATTTCACAGAGTCCACATTTCTGTTTGCCGAACAGAATTGCGTTATTTATTGAACTTTTAAGCTGTACACTGAATGATAATATTACAAGCAGAGAAATCCCAACACATATACTAAGTTCTGATATATATGATGGTGGTTTTTACAATATGATGTAATCCAGCAGTGGTTCTCACAAGCTTCAAACTCTGAGAGAAGCTCTGCACTTAACTGTCAATAATCAAAAGCTGACTTCTGAAAAAAAACCTCACTTTTATCCTGTAACAGTTTTACAAAATCAATATAGCGCTCTTCAGAAAACCCACACTTCCAATGCAATTCCTCACTACCTTTGGGGGAAAAAAAACCCCCCATATATAATACGTAGAACATAAAAATATGCACATTAACAGCCAAGTCTTTTTACGTCAGCTTCCTGTATAAATTCTACAGAAAACAGTGACACCACAACTAGTTAAGTTGAATCCACACCTCTCTAAATATTCTTAGTTTCACAAAGGCTTGTATTTATTGAAGAAACTGTATTAATTTGCACCAATCTTGCTGCTACTTTGTGCTTCTGTTACACCTAAATGGATTTACCTGGTTGACCGTACATTACATTTATTGTATTTCAACAGTACGAGCAAATAAATAGCTGTAAAACATCAAAAACACACACACGCACAACAGCAACACATTAACTTTCTCATACGTGAACACAAACAGCTTCCACTTCCTCGGGCAAATTTGCAGCTGACATCAAGACTGCGCAGATCTCAAATTAGAACTCGGACCCATGAGACTCTTGCAAGGTAAACGTCTAATAAGGCCAAATAAGTTATTGCTGCTCTTTATGCAAGCAGATAGGGATATTAAAGTGCTAATTAAATTGGTTCCGCTTGAGAGCAGAAGTGCCTCAGTTTGGGGAGCAACTACTAACTGCACACTGTTAGTAGCATCTCTTTGCAGAGTTTATAACATGGGTGTGATGTGTTTATAAAGGCCTTGTCATGAAACTCACTGTGCTGCAGCTGTTAAGAGGATAAATTAGACCAAATATGAGCTGCTGAATGCAGCCAAGAGGTTTCTCAGCAATATGATATGACTCTGATGATGCTGTCATTGCTATTACGAATGTGACAATTTTCATTTTATAAATAAACAACAGGATGATGAATGAAATAGCTTTTATATTTAGCTGCTTTGCAAGCTTAAGTACTTCTCGATGATGATGATAACAGTTCTGACGCAAGCTGTAGTAGCAGCAATATTATCTCATGGATCCTACCTGCCAGGACACAGCTGCCAGTATGACTGTTGAGAGCAGACTGAAGAACACCAGGCGCTCTGAAATGAGGCAGAAGTGTCGGATGCCCCTGGAGGCCATGACCTGGTCCAGGCTCCGGCTGCTAGACCGTTGGGCTCGCCAGGCCTTCTGACACTCACTCAGCTTGGTGTGGAAGCCCCAAATTGTGATCAGCAAAATGATGTGGCAGATAGACCAGAAAAGGCCAAACAGACAGAAGCCTGGGATCACCAGATACCACAGCTCCAAGTGGCTAAGCTATGTAGGAAAAGAGAGAAGTGTCATTAAACACACCGGGAAGCTATGTACTCAAGCTACACAACCTGCTGTGCCTTTAGACATAACATTTTCAAGAAATGATCAAGTTTTGACATTTTTACAGAATGGTAAGTGTACCTTTAAGGCAGCCAGGACAAAGAAGGCCAGCTCAGTCAGACTGAGAGGAAACAGGGACAGTCTCCTCCACACCTTCCCCAGAGACAGCACTGGCATCCAGCGCTCACTGGGCCCCAGCCCACTGAAGTAAACATCCAACACAGGCTCACAGAGCAGCCTGCCTAGGTAGCAGCCTAAAGCATAAGGGTTGGCTGTGATGCCCAAGGCCTGGAAAAACACGAGAGACGTGACCAAGGCAAAACTGATGAGGTTTGGCAAAGCTAGGAGGGATTTCATCCTCAAGTCCACAATGAGAGCCCCCAGAGCCACTACCAAGCCTATTATGGCCACTGACTTGTGAAGGAGCATGGTAGTGCTGGCAATGCCAAATCCCAGGAGCTCCAGCAACTCAGCTGACGTGAGCAAGGTGGGCTTGTAATAGATGGAGCTGCATATTCGCTCAGTTACAGCCCACACTGCTTTCATGATCACACTGGCTAGGAGGAGATAATTGGCGACCAGTTCTTTGACATTTGAATCCAAGGCGCGGCTGTTGAGGAAGCACAGGAGGCCGAGCAGGAAGCCAAACCACAAATGGAACAAGCTCTGGCTGGCTTTCTCCATACCAAAGTAGTAATGGAGGATGCTGGCAATTCCCAGAACAAAGAGGCCCAGGATGAAGATGACAAGGATCATCGGTTCGCTCGTCACGTCCCATCGCACATACATGCCGACGCACACCGCCACGAGGAGGTTGACACTGGAGAGGTAGCCCAGGCAGCGCACCGATGTAAACACGTCCACCTCCTTAGGCGCGTTGACGGTCAGCGCCTCTTCCTCTTCCTCCCGATCCATGGCTGACTTGAAATCAACGTGTTTAAATGCAGATTAAGCCTCCGATAGTCAGTTTAATCCAGTTTCTTCCTCTAGACTTGCAAACGGAGGACTACGCCTCTTGATGACATTCTCCAGCGTCAACCCCTGTGAACGATTTAAAAGCACGTTAGTCAGCATTAATCTATTATTTGCTGCTCATGCAATCCAAACTAATTTACAGAACTGAGCAAAAAAAAAAAAAACACTTCCTCTTAGCTGTTGAGATCATTATGAGGACAGAACATCAAAACAACATCACACATAATACACACTCATCACTCTCATAAAAGATAAGATCAGTTGATGACAGAAACAACTTTTTAAATATACATATCTCTAATTCTCACACTGTATATCATTTACCATATTTATATTTGATTCCAGTCATGCTACTCTCTGCACCATTGCACATAATGTATAGACAGTGTATATAATCAGTATTTATTCCCATTATCAGAGTCTGCACAACTTGCACTAAGCTTTGCCCACTTTGTTCACCAACTTTGTCCACTTTAAACATGTTTTTTAAACCACATAACTCTAGCTGCACATAGTAGTTAAACACTCATTTCCTTTGTCTAACCTGTTGCTTTGCTTACATGCATGTTTTTTTTTGACGTAGCCAGAGTTATTGTGAATCATCTTTAGCAACAAGAACATCAAGTCAGCTTGACTTTCTTTCTGCACAACACTATCTAGCAGTTCCTCGTGTGCAGACTAATTAGTAAACAGCCTAATGAGCTTCACACTTCCTCTATGATTAGTTTTATGGCGATTTACGAACTCTTTTTCTTAACTGTCTTAATAGGACGAAACTTTGGCTAACGACGAGCTAAAATGTAATGGGCTGGATTTAGCACAGAGTACAAAGCAGCAGACCAGTCGAGATAAGCTCATTAAGTAGTTCGCTACCGGATACAATAATAAAAACAGTGGTTGCGGCCCTGCTGTCAGTTTGTGACGATGTGGCACTGCAGCCGGGAAGTTCGCTAACTTACACACTCCTGCCTGCTAACACTTCGCTCACACTTCGCTAACTCGCTGTTTCACGTTCAAAGCTTTGTCCCGAACTCTCAAAAATATCAGCGACAGCTCCAAAAACGAGCACTGTACATATTAACTGAGTGTAACGTCTCTATCATTAAAAAAAAATTGCTTACATGTTGATTGTTTAGGGTGACAGCGGCTGTGCTTCCGGATTCCGTAGTACGGCATCTCGCAAGGGACAAAATACATGAGCATTCGCTTTTTCGGCTCCACTGTAGAGCTGGCAGTGGGCACTCAAAAAGCGTTTCTGTTTATTTTGATAAGGCGTCGTCTGTTTGTTACGTTGACTGTCAACGGTTGACATCTGATGATTTCAAGAGTGTACGGGAAGAGAGCCCACATGGAATAATATGGTGAATATATAAAGACAAAAATAATGAAAATCATGTAAAATAAGGAATATGTCATAATGAGCTGCAAAAATGTTCTGCTGGACTCAAGTATTGAAATCAGTCATAGAAAACCACACTTTAGTTTCTTTTGACTATCTATCTATCTATCTATCTATCTATCTATCTATCTATCTATCTATCTATCTATCTATCTATCTATATCTCCTTTCACAAGAGCTGGCAGGTACACAAAAAGCACCCACAGAACAATAAGTACGCTACATAAAACAATACAAAACTTACCTAATTACCTCCAGCTGATGGGAACAACTTGTACCTGAGCATTTAAAATTATTCCAATTTATTTAACATAGCTGATGACTGACTTGTTTTGTGAAAGACAAGTGTGTGTGTCAATTATTGTGCCTAAATATTTAAAATGGGTGCGATAACTTTGTCATTAATAAAAAATAGAGAGACAAATGATACATTTCCTCCATGGGATGAATCATGGGCAGACGGACGAGGTGGCTGACATCAATAAATCCAACCAGTGGCTAGAAAAGACCAGTTTGAAGGACAGCACAGAGACTCTCATCATGGCAACACAAGAACAGGCCCTAAGCACCAGAGTAATAGAGGCAGGGGTCTACCGCAGCAGACAGGACGCAAGGTGCAGGCAAAGATGCCCCTGAGACAGTCCAGCCAATAGCAGCAGGGTGTAGGATGTAAGCTGGGACAACATACGCTGAAAGGTACAACCAAGTGGCTGATTGAAAATCCCCAAGTCCCAATGAGACACATCACTGAAAGTGGTGGAAAACAACAGAGCTAAGGTCCCGTGGGACTCCAAGTTACCTGATAAGCCCCTTTCAAGGCCCTTTCAGACATTTACCCAATTCTGTTAATCTCACGGCAATTTAACACGTCCACTTCATGTCTGAATGTGCACCCTGGCCACATTACCTGAAAAGTCTCGCTTGCAATCTCACCAGGTTGGACCTAGCAATATTTCTGTATCACTTTCAACACAGCACATGCCTGAACTGAACCGTCATATTAATTACACGCACAAGCAGCGGTACTTTGCTTTGTGTGAAGTGGTTTGAGTAAGGATTTTTCCACATTTCACCCCCAATATTCATCCGAAAACAGGGGAATTGGGGACTGCAATCCTCAGTCTTGGGGAGTAGTTCCAGCAGATTCCAGCTACAACATTTGACGTCTATCTAAGATACTGTGCACACACACACGCGCCTTATTTTAATTTAATAAGGTCAAGACCGTACAATGTTACACAGAGAAATGCATCAGTTCTTTTTAAACATCACTTGACAAGTAACAGAAGTAACCCCAATAAGAACCTGGTTCAGGGAAGGCAACCATGGTCCTGCAAGGCAAAAAAATACATGCACAATACACTTGTAATTATGCATATTCTAGCAATTTGTCATTTGTCACTGCAGGAAAATCACAGGTGGAATTATTAACATTGACAGAGACTCTGTTCATGGCCCTGGAACATACCCCTTAATGAAATGCAATTATTAATTAAGCCTGTGCTTGTGACAAAGAGCAATAGATACCCTCCAGCTTTGGACAGATTGCAAAATATATATTTAAAAAACCTCCATCAAACTGCATTTTTGTTTTGCCTTTGATTATGATAATTCCTGAGGAAAGAAAGCTCACTGTTTTACTGCAGAAATCTAAATATATTCATGAATCAACAATCCAGAAAGACAAGGAATGCAATGTTTACTGTTACATAACATGAGAAAATACGGTTTGTCTGCTCTATTTATGCTTTTGGTTAAAGCGGTATTGTCTCAAACGCATTGCTAGAAATCCCTGTTATTAGTAGATTAACCTTTATTTATTAAGGGAATCAGTATGTCGACTGTCTAGAAAAACTGTGAATGTAGTCATAATGGGCACAATAACAAAATCCTTGCCCTGACTCTTGCGTATTTCTTTCTATTCATACCAATAAAAAACCTTTTACTTGCTTCAGCCCTGCAACTGGCACCACAAAAAGTCTTCATCACCGGGTTTTGTAAACCAAGATAAACCCATTGGCCTCTAGGATAAGAAGTATATTTGCTGCATTAATGAGGAGAAGCCTGTTAAAAGGTTTATTTAGGATTTTCTACTGATGCAATGTGATAAATGTAACGATTCAGGGAACATCAAGAAGCAGGCTTACTCAATACCCTGAGGGTATACTAAAGTAACCCAACGCATGCGTGTGCATTTTTGATGCTTGTGTTTTTCACTGTGTGTGTGTGAGCCTGTGCTGCTTTGATCAGATGTTGACAGAAGGCACAACTGGGAACACACACACACTGCTTTAGCCCCCTCAACTGACGCACACAGCCCTATTTTCATACAATGTTTATGGCTGAGAGGAAGATGTAAACACTGAAATGGACCGTGATCTATTTGTCCTAAGCAGGGATCTTTAAAAATTCATTGACCTAAAAAAAAAAAAAAAAAAAAAACCCAGATTCACTGTGAAGTAATGAAATTATCAGTAAAAAAAAATATGTCAACAATACTGAGGAATACAGATTTCCTGTCCAGTAAATGAAAGTGTAATTTCTTATTACTGCAAGCAGAAAATAGTTAAAACTGGATTTGAGCTTCCCCATTAATATACAGTCTGCATTTACAGTGCAGTATCTGTGCCATACTGTATAATATAGTTGTTTCATAAGAAAGGCTTTCCTTTTGAAGTCTCTACGCTTGCAATGCTGTGAAACAGAACAAAAGAAGCTGACTGACTGATCCTAATCCAATCCAAGAAGTGCTACATGTGTCTGTGTGCCCATCCGTTGAGTTATATAGGACATGGCGCAGGGAGAAGCTTTCCTCACGAAGATAAGGCGGCGACTTCCAGACGAAGGTTTCAGTTGATGATGACCGGGGGGTCATTAGAGCTTCCGCTAATTCCTTCCAAATCCATTTATTTCTGTATAAAGAACAAGATAAGTAATAAAATGAAGGAGTAACCACATTTATTTAATTAGAGACTTGCCTTCATGCATAATTGAAGAATCTAGTGATCAAATAATTTCCCCAAAACTGTAACGCGCTCGTGTGTGTGTGTGTGTGTGTGCGCAGGTCGGGCATAATGAGCCTTTTCCAAAAGGAAGGGCAATGCCACTGCATTTGCTCATGAATGCAGCACATATGTTGTGATCTCTTGGAGGCTCAAGTGCTGAAGGATCTTTAAAAAAAAATAGATGCAGAGAGAAAGAGAGAGTTGGGAGGGTTAAATGAGGATAGGAGTGAAAGAGAGAGATATAGGACACTAAAGGAGACAGGTTCAACTGAATTATGCAAAGGCTACCTTCATTCTAATGTTGGACACATTTCTACACCACCTGCCTGTGCTTAGCTGCACAAGCCACTGGCACATGCACACCAAAGCTGGTCTGAACCATATGAATATTCAGTTACATTAATATTCCAATGACAAGTCAGTATTCACAAGTTGTTTGCGACCATATGGATAAGATAAGTAAAGGTTAAGGACGGATTGCGGTTAGAAAACAACATTAGACTCTGGCATGACGGTTCGACACTATATATATATATAAACTCATCATCATCCTTTGCTTTTGCATTCTAACATACAGTTTCCATGCACTATTATGTATATCAAGACATGAGATGCCTAAGACTCTAACAACTTGGAATTTTCTCTGATGGAATCAATCAAACCATGTGTCTTCAATCAAACCATGTGTCTTCAT